GTGGATGACACTTGACTGCGACAAGCTGCTGACTGTCAGGAGCAGAAAGGCCTTGCAGAGAGAACCTGAGCGATGGGAGGGCCAGGCAATTCCCAACCCCACGGAGGTGAATGGGAGCGAGAGCTGCATTCTGCACCTGGGACAGGGCTGCCCTGGATACATGCGCAGAATGGGGGATGAGAGGCCAGACGGCAGCCTCACAGAAGGGCTCTGGGAGAGATGGCACTGATAGCTGTGGGGCATTCAGGCTGTTCTGGGAATGGAGGTTGTTTGGGAGGGGGAGCTGCCCCACGTGCAAGAACTGAGGCTCTCTGCCTTCCTTCACTCTTAGTTTCAATATCTGCACTTCCCGGAGCTGAGTGCAGTTACAGGATGTGTCTGGCTGTGCACTTTGTGCCTCACGCAGTGTGTCTGCAGGTGGGGCCGGGCACTTCCTGGCTCGGGGCATCTGCAGGGCAGCACAGGGCAGGGCCGGGATGCAGCCCCAGCACTGCACAGCCCCAGGCTCTGCCTTCCTGCTCCCTGCAGGCAGCTCAGCACCACGCTGCTGCTCGATGCCTCTGCCCATGTGGGGTGGGAGCGGTGGGAACAGCAGCAGTGTGAGGCCTCATGGGCTGGGACGAGGACAGTTTAGTTGGTAAAGCAAAAGCTGTGCCTTCAGTTGAGCAGGGATCTTCTTCTACAGGTTAGACAGAAAAAGAAAGTGCCTGGTTACTGGGATTGGGATCGGATGATATGGGAGAAACACAGAGCTGCTGTTCAACATTGCAGGGAAAAATTGGATGTGACCAAAGCTCAATTAGATGTGAAGCTGACCAGTGCTGCTGGGGACAGCAAAAAGTGAGTATTTAAATAGATGAAGAATTAAGGGAGGACCAGAGATTACATCAGCCCATTACATTATGGTCACTTCTCCTTAGTAATGCACACAAAGCCTCTGTACCTCTGACTTCAACAGTAGTGATGCTGCAGAGATGGGGAAGGGTCTGCAGGGGAAGGGGTATGAGTAGAGCTGAGGGCCCTAGTGCAAGTAGGTTGTAGAAGAAGCTGTATAGGAAACCACATAAGACACTTAAGTCGTGCATTGGAATAAGTTCCGTGGCATCACTGGAAGAGTTGTTCTTTCACAGTGATAGCAACACAATGATGTTGCTAGGGAAAAAAGCATGAAATTGAAGAGAGTACTAGGTAAAAATGGTGAAGAAACAGAACAATGTAAAAACAACACCGTTAGTCAAGAAATAGTTGAAAAGAATAGCCTCAAGAGCAGGAAGCCTATGGGAGTCTTGAAGCTACACAGGATTAGAAGCAGAGACCAAAATGATAAATAGGAAGCAAGCAAAACACCCCACACCAATTAATTCCCATTTGGCTCAATAAGGAGTTAAAGAGGTGGTCTGAAAGAAAAGGCTGAAATTTAAAGAAATGGAAGGGGTGTCCACATACAGAAAACAGAAAACTCTCAAATGTGAAACAATGGAGCTGCTGGCACACCTGTGCTACCCGCCTCACATAGGGCTGCCCTGCCAGAGGCCTGCAGTGCTGCTAATGTAATTCCCACCTACAAGAGAGGCTCTACAAAGTATCTACCAATTATGGGCCTGCAAATGGCCTCCTTGGCAATGTGACAGAGCCTATAATAAACAATAAACACACTGTGAACATGGAAAAACACAGCCTGTATGGAAAAAATAAGGCACAGGTTTGTAAAGGGAAATTAAGCCTCAGTGGGCTGCTGGATTTATGCAAGAGTGTCATCAGCCAGCAGCTGGCTCAGGGGAATTCAGATGAAGCGACTTTTGGGTAAAGAGAATTAGGGGGCACTTCAAAAACCCTCCAAGGTTCACTGTGCAATATTGTTTCCTACTGAGTATTTTAACACTTTTCCAGTCTGTCAGTAATTTCCTATATTCCTGTTCACAGCAGCTCAAACACCAATTCTATGAAGTCAAGTGAGTGTCATAACCTTCAAGAGCTCTAGTGCTACTTTAAAAGAATCTGTCAATTACTTAATAGAATTCCTGTTTAATACAATGTTGCTATCTATGTTTCACATCCAAGGTTAATTTAATGCTTAAGATGTAATGTTTCAAGAATAACCGCATAAAATAATTTATCCTGGAAGAGCACAAGGAACAGCAGTTATTCATGTGAATAAGAAAACACGAATCACAGAAGAGAGAAAATTATATCTATAGAATGCAAATATGCAAAGATGAACCCATTATGCCAGGCAAAGCAGAGGAAGATTTAAGATCCAGGGTAAAATTACAGCTATAAACAGTACCTTTTTTTTTTTTTTTTTTTTTTTTTTAAAGCAAAAGGGAATGTGGTTCACCACAAATTCTAGTTATGACAATTAAGGTGCTACTATGCCATGTGGAAAGCCTTTTAACATCCATCCCAGTACAACTGTACTTTGAGTACACACTCTTCCTTCCAAAGTTGTTGGACAAAAGAAACAATCACAAACACTTTATACCTGCACACGAGCTACCAGCACCATTAGGACAAAACTTGGTCCCATGGCAAACCCAGGAAGAGGATTCAGTGATAGGATCTGTTTGCTCAGTAGTGGAGCAGACACTGACTTATACTGTATCACAATGTCTAGCTGACGATAAATAGTAGACAGATAGACAAACAGATAGACATGTCTATCACAGGAGAGTCATCAGCATGAAAGAAGTTCAGTGCCCCAGATATTCCTCGGCCAAGTCCAGTCTGGTACAAACTGATCACTGTACAAAACTCTTATAAAATCTCCTTTCAAAAAATGAAGTATGAGCTTCACTATCCATTTCTTGTTCATAAAATGTTTGTGCATTTTACATTTAGAAAATCCTTTATATGTTCCACTTTTTTTCCTTCAGCAAATAAGGAAATGTTCTGCATTTTGTTCACTAAAAACATCCAGAAAGCTGTGGCTGCTGTACTCCAGACTTGCCAGTAAAGTTTGGAGAAACACAATAAGAAACAGCCCAGTTAACATTTTTAAGCAATACCCTAATGTAGCATTTGGGAACAGGACTCCCCAGTGCCTGGACCATCCCTCTAGAAATAGTGCTTTCTCAGATTAGTCTGAGCAAGACAATGCAGTATGGATTCATGGGGCTGAAGAAGAAAAGCAGCAGTAGATAAACAACTGCAGAGAGACAGTTTTTAAAGTGTTATTGAATTGGTTGTCCCTGTGGTGGCTTCAGTGCCATGTAGAACCCAGGCACTGTTGGTTCTAGGAACCAATGGTTTCATTGATAAAGAGAGCATCAGGGTCTGACTGCTGACAAGTCCACTGATAGAAACTTGCTGTGGATATTTTGGATCTAAGATGCATCCATGGGGTGTAAGGACACTGCCTCTACCACATCTATCCTGACCAGCTCCACCTGGGCCTTCCCCCCACACCCTCTGCATATGGCAGAGGCTCCTCGGTAGAGCACTTCTTCCTAGACTTTTAGAAATCTTTTGTCTCGTACTTGAATATTAAACTGCATTTCTGCTGTAAAGACTTGTGCACAACTGTGGTGCTTTTAAGGCTGGTCAGTACAGTGTTCACTGCAGGGCAGTTGGATTCGATGGCCTTTAAAGGTCCCTTCCAATTCAAACGATTTTATGATTACGGTACTGAAGTCTGCTCTCCATGCCAGTGCCAGCAGCTGAGCTCAAGAGCGCTTCTGCCACTGCTGCAATACTGAGTGATAAACGCGAGAGGGCATCCCTGGCACGAACTGAGAGCTGTTATCTCTCCCATCATTAAACAGAGTATCAAAAGCTGATGGCAGGTTAATAGTGCTGTTGCTATGTACACGCATAACAACAACAACTTTTTTAAAAGACTGTTGGACGTTTCGTCCTTTAAAAGTATAAGCTCTTAAGACGTGCTCCAGCTATTCCTACTCAAAGAAATATTCAAACTCTTTCCCCCTCCTGCCTTTTTCAAGTTCCTGATGACTGTTCATTGCTCTGGAAATAGGTACCTTCTGCAAGCCTAGTTCTCTCCAACGAGTTCACACATCTGCAATATGCTCTACAGCTCTTCCTGCAATGCTTGTTTCACCAGTATCTATTTAAAAGCTACTTTTGAATATGTTTACCAGCATTGCACTACTCATTCCTGTCTTGCAGCTTTCTGACCCAGCACAAGGCTTTTTTCTAAATTCTGTGTTGCAAAATGCTCCTGCCTCAATTCTTGCCTCAAGCACTGCACTGGGTTTTCACATTCCCTTCTACCTCCCAGCATCCAACGTCCCACTACTCTGACACCCAGAGCCCCTCCCTCTGCTATCTCTTCCTCTCATCTACTCAATGCTGGTTTTGGTAGCAGCACTGGGAGGGAATTCAGGAATTCTCTGACGCCGGTGGAGGACCACATACCCATACTGCATCCCGCTGCTCAAGCAAGTGGGTTGGCCAAACTGACCTGCAGAGATCCCTCTGAACCTCAACCTATGAAGAGGAAGGAGCAGCAGAGAGAGGCTGCTATGAGGTGACATCACCTATTTGCCGTTCCCACTGCGCCACCTGGTGGGAAGGAGGCAGAAGAGCCACAAATGAAAGACTGAAGTTGAGCCCAGGAATAAGGAAGAACAGGGAGAAGATATTCTGGTTTTTGCTTCTCACCATCCTGCTCTATTTTTTTAATTGGCAACAAATGAAATTAATCAGAGAATTGTTGGAAGGGACCTTTAAAGGCCATCTGGTCCCACTCCCTGCAGTGCACAGGGACACCCACAGCTACATCAGTGCTCACAGCCCATCCCCTGACTGTGGGTGTCTGCAGGGATGGGGCACCACCACCTCTCTGGGCAACCTGTGCAGTGCCTCGCCACCCTTATTATAAACTTCTTCCTGATATCCAATCCAAATCTCCCCTCCTTTAGTTTGAAACTATTTCTCCTTGTCCTATCACAACAGACCCTGTTACAGAATCAGTCCCCTGCTTTCTTACAACTCCCCTTGACTTTAATGTTCCTCTAGTCAAGCCTGACTTACCACTGATGGCATTTGGTAAGTCATCTCCCTGTCTTTATCTTTTTCAGCATATTTTCTCCCTCTGTCCTGCTGAGGACTTTCCAAGTTCTTGGTCCCAGTGCCACCTATTTTCTCACCTCTCAGTACTGGAGATACGAAGAAACATCACATCTTCCACTAATAAGCAACACAGGGAATTATTACCAGTGATTTCTGATCAGGGAGAATCCAGCTGTACCAGATCCAAGTTCTGCAGCTCCCAGGTCACACTTCTGTGCTTGCAGCATCCCAAAGAGGAACATAGCATTGTCTGCAGAAGCAGTATATAAACCAGCATTAACATACACGTGTACATGCAGCTTTTACTTCACTGCATTAGGCAAAAAGCTTCCAAAAAGCAATGCTGTCTTCTTGTTACAGCTATCAGCAGGGATACAGAATATCTTAATATTTTTCATTTTCTTTTTCTCCCTGAACAATTTTGGGGTTGGCAAATTCCTTTGCAATTTTGACCAGGTCAGAAGCCTATGATGTAGTTCTTTTACCTCTTAGAGAAAAACACTTCTTTGAGGAGCAAAGACATTTACCAATATGCTGCTGTATAAATCTACTTTGTTGACGCCAATCATGAAGCTAAGCACCTGAATGCCTTCTGGACATAGCAAACTGGTTTTGTGAAATCAGTGGAAGTCAGTGGAGGCTTGGCAGCATGACAGCCCCTCTGATGTGCCTCATCATGCACAGTCATGCAGCAGTCATCTCTGGAATACGTGCATTGAAATGACACCTTCCAAGTGGCCATGTTATTAAAACTATGCCCCACTTTCGTTTTGGAATATAATTCCTGGAATGTAGGGGGAGACAGGGATACTGTATAATACCAAGCATTCTTTTGCATGGTGCATCATGTTTTAGGGCAAATGAAATCGCAAGCTAATGAATGCATATCAGACTGCTTGCACAGACAACATTAGTGAAGTAGTCAGACCCTTTGCATGTCTTATTTATTACATGGATAGCAAAGTACCCCCCCGCTATCCTGAAAGCATATGCAAATTACGTTTCACTGAAAGTCAATCATCATTTATCCAAATATTCCCAAGATGGAAGCCAAACTGATCATGGAAGAAATACAGGGGGAAAAGAGAGAACTGTCAGACAAATTGTCAGCAGAAGAAACTTTAACTGGGTAACAAGGTTGGTTATTAGGAAAAAGTTCTCTGAACGAGCAGTCAGGCACTGGAATAGGCTGCCCAGAGGGAATGGTGGGGTCACTATCCCTGGAGGTGTTGAAGAAATGGGTATATGTGGTACTTAGGGACATAGTTCAGTGAGTAGGACTGCTGGTAGGCGGTCAGTTGGACTGGATGATCTCAGAGGTCTTTTCCAACTTTAATGATTCTGTGATTCTATGAAACCAGCTAACAGTGGTCAAATACTTAGAGTTTGTCCAGAATTCAAAATCTGCATCCCTAGACACTGCTACCCTCAGCAATCTAATCTAATTTAATCCTCAGACTGCATGTCCTCTGGAGGTCCTCTCCAACCTAAATCAGGTCCCCAGGCTCAAAGCATGACTCAACACAATCCCTCCTATTAATATATTGTAGTACTGTCTATAATATAGGTTCAACCTGAAAGGAAAGACTGCACTCATAGAATCTCAGAATGGTTGGGTTGGAAGGGACCTCAAAGGCCATCTGGTTCAACCCCTGTGCTGTGGGTAGGGTTGCCAGCCCTTAAAGCAGGCACCAGGTCAGTTGCCCAGGGAATGGATGAGTGTTCCCACTTCAGTTGTTGCCAGTAGGAGAGATGAAGTATAATACAACAAAAATGCAGCCGTATTTAACAAAAGTGCAATTTTACCAAAAGAAACAGACACGATTGAAAGCAGCATTCATACAGGAGTGATAGCTTGCACATAACTATGCTTCTCTCAGCAACTTAGGAGTTGGACTCAGTGACCTCTCTGGGTCCCCTCCAACTCATGCCATTCTATGATTTAAAAACAAACAAACAAACCAACCCCAAATCAGAAAATCCTTCAGCCTCTCAACTTTAAACATTCATTTCCCGAACGTTATTCCGAGCAGCTCTCGGGTTTTGCAAGCAGTTACCAGGGCGCCTGCTGCTGAGCCGCGAGCTCGGCTCTCGTCCCACGGGGAGGAGTTCTGCTGCTGCTGCTGTTGCTGGGATCCGGCGGCACGCAGGACGAGCTGCTCCAGGGCCGCATCCCCTGGCCGGGCTGCCATGGGGGATCGGTCAGACCGAGCCAAGGAAACCCCCCCCGAGAAGACTGCGGGCTAAAAATGGACAACTCCTTCGTGGAAGAAGTGGCTGCATCTCTGGTGAGAGAATTTCTCAGTAGAAAGGTAATTTAGTCTTGATTTTCTGGCTGGGATAAATGGGAACGGCGCAGGAGAAACGCCCATTGTTAAAAGGCGAAGGGAGGGACGCTGGATGGGGGCTGCTGGCAGCCGTAAGTCCTGGAGAGCAGCGGGCTGCGGGGCACGGATCTGCACTACATCTCCCACAATGCCCGCTCATTGCTGACCGTGGAAGGCGGCTGCCTGCCTGCCTGCGAAAATCTGATTCATTCCTACACGTGCCTGCGAAAAAAAAACAAAACAAAACCCAAAAACTTAAGCCAAGAAATGCGGTTTTAAGCTTTTTTTCACCCCTCCTTCATCACCTACGGTCCTTGTTTTTTACAAGTGATGCACACAAATACTAAAACAAAACAAAAGGAAGTAGTCATAGAGAAAACAGATGTCTTTTACTGCGGCTCTGCAGGCAGTGGATTTGCCCATGGAGGAAGGAATAGAAAGTGACCACTGTGTTTGTCACAGAACCTGATGTAAAGGAAATAACTGGGATGTGGGCTGTGAGCCGAGGAAAAGACACCTTCATGTTTCCAGGTGAAATTACCTCCTACTTTGTATTTAAGCAGAATCCAAAGGAAATATTGCACGTGTCCCACCAGCTCGGGAATGAGTTGCCTTGTACAGAACATAAGACACAGCTGTGCTAAGAAGCATCCTGCCAACCTCGCTTTCTTCCACCTATCCTGCATCCAGCTTTCAAATGCTTATTTTCAGTGTTGCCAACCTGATTTCTAATGCAGAAATAATCACTTGCCTTTTAAGTTCCAGCATTAGCAGAGCAATACCCCAAATTCTGAATCTGAATACAGAGATTTCTCAAATGAAACACCTTCACATTTCTGACTTAAATAAACATAATGCTGACTAAAAGCATAAAAGGACAGGGAGTGCTCTGCTGGTAAAACTGACCATGCAGCTTATCACTCATTGCATTTTAATTGCAGGACTGTCTCATTCTCTGTACTGGGTTGCAGGAAGAGCCCAAACTAATTGATGCAATGAGGATCCAGCTGACTTCCAACCTGGTCAGGTTATCCTGAAAACAGGGTGAAGAGCAAGATAAAGGTTCTGAAAAACCTGCCAAAAAATAGAACACACCTGAAATTTAGATTTTGTAATTACATAGCTCAGATGCAATTAATTGCACAGGCCAATCTTATTGAGCTGTTAAGTAGCTGCAGTCAGCTGCATGGAGTAGCTCTGTTTTGTTTGTTTTCCCAAGTTTGGTAAATTCTGCACAGACAGCATTTCCACCAGAACTCCTTTTACATCTTTGGGCTGTAGAAATGCAAAACTGTATAATTAAAGTGCAGGTTTTAAGGCTTAGCTTGTAATTACTTCCATTTTAATGTATCCAGAAGCTTCAGCTTGCATCCAACAAAGTCAGCAATAAAAGCTTTTGTTAGCTGTTCTGTGTCCTTCTCCTCCCAAATCCATGCAGGAATCATAGATCATAGAATGGCCTGGGTTGAAAAGGACCTTAAACATCATCTAGTTCCACCCCCCTGCTATGTGCAGGGTTGCCAGGACCAGGCTGCCCAGAGCCACATCCAGCCTGGCCTCGAATGCCTGCAGGGATGGGGCATCCACAACCTCCTCGGGCAATCTGTGCCAGTGGAAGCAGTAGGAATCTAGTATATCCAGCCTGCACAATCAAGTAACCATGGAGATGTGGCACTGAGAGTCATGATAGGGTTAGGCTGGTGTCTTAGAGGTGATTTACGCCCTTTAATGATTCTGTGACTCTAAAATCTCCTGCTTGTCTTCAGGGTCTGAAGAAAACCATCAGCACCATGGACCGGGAGCTCCCACGTTCTGCACTTAGCATCAATAATAGGAATGAGCTTCGAAATGTCCTGCATTTGCATTCCCTGTACAAACAGAACAAGGTAAAGGAAGAGGTGTTTCTCCTCACAGTCTGGTCTCAGGTCCCATAGAACTGGGTCAAACAGATCAAGGCAGCAGTGTATGAGAACTGGAGAACTCCAGAGAACTGGAGCCTGGGTCTGGTGCTGCACTGCTGTGGATATGCTTAGAGGTCTCCGTCTCACCTCCATGGTGAGATTGCATTACAGCTCACAGGACTAAGCTGAGAACCTGGCAGTGAGCCCTCGTTACTAAATGCAGCTTCCAATAAACCAGGAGCATTTATTCACTTTAACATCTTTTACATCATTACATCTAGAATATTCCATTTTGGAAATAGCTCTGCATTTCCATTTCTATTTACAACTTTATGTATGACCTGACAGACAGAACTGCACTCAGCATTTATCATTCCTTGAAATGTAATACAGGCCACAATCTTTTATGTCAAAGCCATCAGTAGATGATTTCCAATTAGTGCTTAGATCCAATCCTAACTATTCACAGTTTAAGGCAGGAATGTCTAGCCAACAGCCTGCAGGATGATGCAATTAACTCCAGCAACTCGTGTTTGATGAATACAGCACTGCATGTGCAAACTCACAGCAAAGCTATGAATTTCATGAGGTCCAAGACATGGAATTATTGCCAACTCCAGGAGTTCCTAGACTTCCTTCACAATCACACCTTATTACTTCATTTAACACACACACACACCTTTAAGCTCTTGATATTTCCTAGCTGACATCTCCTTCCTTGGAGGTGGAATCACTGTCCCTGGAAGTGTTTAAGAAACGTCCAGATGTTGTACTGAAGGATATGGTTTAGTGGATATATTGGTGGTTGGATTGGATGATCTTGGAGGTCTCTTCCAACATTGGTGATTCTGTGGTTCTATTTCTTCCTGTGTTGTCTGTACAGCCATATCATTTATAACCACCAGACTCTAGGAAACTGTTAACATGTTCAGCTGCTGTACAGTATAATAACTCCTTCTTAGATTGCAGCAGGACTAACAGGTTCTCAGCAGCAACCAAAAACTTTATTTTTCTTCTCAAACAGGCCAAGGAGAACCCTCTGAAAACACTTCTTGAAATCATTACTAATTATTTCCTTGAGCACCGTGGGACCTCCAGGAGCACCAGTTCAAGTTCTGCACTGACAGTTTCTCAAAGTAAGAGCTCAACATCCCATCCACCTGATCTCTCAGATGAAGAACGTGCATGTGGAAATGCCAGCCTGCCTCGTGACAGCAAAACTCAAACCTCCAGGTACTGCCTTATTCCTCCTTGCTTTGGCCAGTCTTCTTCCCATTAAGTGAAACAGTGTTGAATGGTTTATATGATATATATGGTCTGATTTTTGGGGTGGTCCTGTGCAGAGGCAGGAGTTGGACTCAATGATCCTTAATCCTCTGGTTAGACATTAGGAGGAAGGTTTTCAGCCAGAGGGTGGTGAGGCACTGGAACAGGTTGCCCAAGGAGGCTGTGGATGCCCCATCCCTGCAGGCATTCAAGGCCAGGCTGGATGTGGCTCTGGGCAGCCTGGTCTGCTGGCTGGCAACCTGCACATAGCAGGGGGTTGGAACTGGATGAGCATTGTGATCCTTTGCAACCCTGGCCATTCTATGATTCTATGACCCTTATGGGTCCCTTCCAGCTTAGGATATTCTGTGATTCTACAACATCCTCAGCAACACCATCTTTGGTTAGTTATCGCAGAATTTGCATTACTGCCATCTTCCTTCAAAAAATGCTCTTTTATGCTCCCTGGCAATTACAAAGACTTGCATGTTCTTCACTGACTGAAAGATGGAATTAAGATGAAAAAACCTGAGCTTTTATGCCTGGTAAACTGGAAAGTATTCAGTACAGTCTAATGAAAAATGAACCACCTGCACTCAAAACTACAGACACGTCAGTGCTTAGAGTCTAAACCAAGCCCTACCATCTTACATTCAGCATTGCTGCCAACAGTATAAGTTATTTCCATCAACAAAAGCATATGGAAACAGCATGAAGCCAAGTCTTCCAATGCCATTTATTAGCATCTGAGAGCAATAGCACCAGCTGTGCTTCAACAGAAAACTTTTAAAATGAACACAGAACAGAAATTCAACTTCCCAGCTTTGACTCTCAGGGAATACACCTAATTTTATTCCTCATTGTAAAAGCAGCATTGTAAAAGCAAGCGTTAGCACTTGCAGAACTCCAGCAAGTCCTTGCTCAGTGGGGAAGGAAACAAGAACTGACACAACCAGCTAAGAACTGATTAGACACTGCAGGGGTTGGAAGGGACCTGTGGAGATCATCGAGTCCAAGCACCCCAAAGCAGGTTCCCTACAGCATGTAGTGCAGGAAGGTGCCCAGACAGATCCTGATTATAAGGAGACCCAGCTCTCTGGGCAGCCAGCTCCAGTGCTCCATCACTCTGATTGTTTTTCCCTGTATTTGGAACACCCTGTCTTCCAGTTTCTGCCCGTTCCCCTTCTTCTATTGCTTCCTAGGAAGCTCCTAACAAGTCTCTCTTATATCGAATAGCAGCAACGCAGCCCTTTCCCGCCCCCAACAAAATGGCGGAAC